GGCGGGAGCGAGCCGGGCGGGGGCGGCCCGCGGCTGAGCCTGTTTTGGTGACGGAGAAGGGCCGAAGGAGCGGGTCGGTCCGGGGCCCGGCCGACGGGTGCCGGCGCCCGCGGGGTGGTGGGCGAAGGCGCGGGAAATCGGCGTCGGCCCGGGAGGCGGAAACCCTCCTCGGCCCTTTGTCTCGTTTGGGCGCCGGGGCCTCGTGGCGGCCGGGAACTGAGGGAGCGCTGGGCGCGGCGGCGGCGGGAAGTTAGTTGAAGGGAACTGAGAAGTTGCGCGGCCGCAGCGGGCCGCGGGGACCGGAGCCCCAGGGGCTAGGGGTCCCTGCACCGCGTCTTCTCCCGGGACCCGCGTGAGGGAGCGTCTGGGGTTGTCGTGGGCGAGGGGAGGCCCGGAGCGAGACTGACAGGCCCGTTTCTATTCTCGGGCGACCTATTCCCGCTTTAGCCGAAGCAACTTCCGGACAAGTGGCAGCACGACCTCTTCGACAGCGGCTTCGGGGCCGGTGCTGGCGTGGAGACCGGCGGGAAGCTGCTGGTGTCGAACCTGGACTTCGGAGTGTCGGACGCCGACATTCAGGTGGGAACCTGGGGCTTCTCGGCCAGCGGGGCTGTGCGGTCTGGGATGTGGCCCGAACCCCTTTCCTCGTGAGGAGCGCGAGTCTGCCCGGCCGCCCGCGGGACGGCCTCGGCGCGTGCGCGGACTCGGCCCGTCGGTGCTTCTCGGATGCGCTCGGCGCGCCGCGCCGGGAGCCTGACGCCCTGCCCGAGCTTCCGACGGCCCCGACAGACCCGGGCTGCCGGCGTTGTCAGCTTTGTGCCGGTTCTGAGGATTTAGGAGACGAGCAGCGTCTCGCCAGAACGGACGGGCACAGCGGCAGGTTCTTGCCTGCAGCGTTTTCCTCGTTGTCGGCCTTGAGTCCTGTCTGGGGGGACCGCTCACCCGTCACCGTCCCCGCATCTTGTTCTTGGCGCCATTCTCGAAATATCTTTGGTTGGAGCCCCTGGACTTTTTTTTTCTTTTTAAAGGGGAAAAACAAAAAAAATCTGAATCCTAGATACAGCTAAACTTATCTTCTGGTTAAGGAATAAATTTTTGGGCTCAGACTTGGAGATGGCTGGGTCAGGGTGCTGGGCCTTCCTGGGTTCCGATTCCCAGAGCCCAGCCGCGACTTTGCCACGGGAGGACAGAGCAAGGCCGGTGAGCACTCACAGTGTCTCAACACTTTTTTTAAGGTGGTTTCTAGCATCCCCTGGAAACCGCTTTTGGTGAACTCCACTTCCCGCTGTGTGCCTGCGGCCGGAGTAGCCCCACACTCTGGGTTCCCTCTCCAACTCCCAGCCTGCCTGAGGTCAGGGCAGTTTCCATGGCAGCGCTTGACTTCAGCCTTTGCGGCAGGCTTGAGTAGGAGGAGAGGGAAAGGTGAGCCAGAACCTGCCTGGGGGGGGGCTGGGGCCAGGGTCCTCCACAGTGGTCGGGGCTGTCCCACTGTGTGCGCAGCTCCCCCTGCTCTGTGATCTTGGCCTTTGCTGCTTCTTGGACGCCTCCTTGGGGGTCTTGTAAATTAGTCCTTCATCAAAGACAATTGTGGCTTAACCTTGTGTCCTCCATAGTGGACTTTGCAGCTCCCTTCACCTGCCTCACGAGCAGATGTCCAATCCCAAAGCTGACAGGGGCCCTCAGACCCACCTGCTTTAGGAAGTTGCGTCCCGTCAGCCCCGTCCCTCCCCTAGTGCCCATTCCCACATCCCAGCCCCGCGTACGTCTATCTCCCGGGGAAGCATCCCAAAGCAGATCAGTCCTGCAAGAATGGTCCCTGGGACACCAAAGGTCTACAGCTTTGCTGATGACCTTGCTCTTTCCGGACCCCAGGAACTCTTCGCTGAATTTGGGACTCTGAAGAAGGCTGCCGTGCACTATGACCGCTCTGGCCGGAGTTTAGGGACAGCAGATGTGCACTTTGAGCGGAAGGCCGATGCCCTGAAAGCGATGAAACAGTACAATGGTGTCCCTCTGGATGGTGAGTATTCACCTGGACCAGATCCGTGAGGGGCTGGATCCTACACTGTGGAGTTTGGGGCTGGTACCTGTCATGCAGGACTGCGGCCCCCCTGTGGCTCGGAACCCTCTGCATTCGCCCCTTTGTCTCTCTCTTCCATCCTGCCACCTCTCATGCTGTCCCACACATCTGGACCAACCTCTTGTGAACCCCCATCCAGCAAGCTACATCCCTCCCCTCCTTCAGCTCCTTCCGGAAGATTCACTTCTGTGAAGCCTTCTCAGAACCGCCATAGTACACCTCTGAGTGCGGGGCTGTAGTCGTAAAGACAAAGGTACTGGTTCTTCTTCCGTGAGGTCACCCACACCTTTCTACCCACAAGCACCCCAGACAAGTTACCGACAGCCCGCCAGGGTGGACAGGAAAGGAAGCTGAGCTGCTGGTGGGGTGGTATCTGCTCCTCCAGCAGTCCTGTCAGGCCTGTTTCCTTGTTGGAAGCATTTGAGGCGCAGAGAGACCCTTGCCAGTGTTTGCATGGACACCAGGGTATGGTGGAACCTGTGCTGACCACAGAACCCGTCACTGGAATGTACTCTCTTGTATTCTTTGCCACAGGCCGCCCCATGAACATCCAGTTGGTCACATCACAGATCGACACACAACGGAGACCTGCACAGAGGTGAGTCTGGAACTGGTGATGGATTGCTGTGTCTTTCTTGGAGGCCTGTCAGCAAGTGAACAAGGCTTGTTTTTCTCGCCAGTATAAACAGAGGTGGCATGACTAGAAACCGTGGCTCCGGAGCTTTTGGCGGTGGCGGCGCCCGGAGAGGCACCCGTGGGGGCAGCCGGGGGCGAGGCAGAGGGACTGGCAGGAGTTCAAAGCAGCAGCTGTCAGCAGAGGAGTTGGACGCCCAGTTGGATGCTTACAACGCCAGGGTGAGTCCTGGGTTGGGGGCCAGAGGTGGGCTACCACTTGGGTCACAGTCCTGGCCTGGTGTCACCCAGAGCCTGGCTGGCAGCAGGAACCTTGCAAGTGAGCACCCTCTCTTGCTCTATTTCAGATGGACACCAGCTAAACAGACCTGCAGATCTGTGCCCGGAATAGGACCCAGACGATTGGCCCGTGCTCCCTAGTGGGAGGGAGGGTGGCGGGCCGTGGCTGGGCAGCCAATGATGGATTTGGTTCTTTTATGTTTTAAAATAGGATTTAAAAACTCATGTAAAGGTTTTTCTTTTCTTTTTTTTTTTAAATTCTGGAACAGACCTGTTTTGTACCGAGTTATTTTTGGGATAAACTTTACTGGTTGCTGTTGTGGAGAAGGTGGTGTTTTCACCTTTGCCATAATAAAATAGAACTGTGTGTAGAAATGGATTTGTCTGGTTTGTCCCAGCGTGGGAGGCCTGGCCTGCACGGGACCCTGGATCGGTGGGGCGGGGGTGAGGCTGTCAGGGGCAATCCTGAGGACCTCTCTGGCATCCTGGGAAGCCTGGCTGTCCATTCTCCTGTCTCTGCCGGTCCTAATCCTCTTTCTTTTACTCAATAGGTGAGATGATGGCGAGTGGGGGGGCCTTTGCCCGGAGCTGCCAGTTCACCCTGCTGCACTGTGGAGGTGAGGGTCTAGGGGAAGGTCGGGGCACCATGCCATTTCCAGAGGTTTCTGGTGACCAGGTTGGCTGTCTTTCTCTTCATACTCTAGTTCTCAGAGAAATCTGGGTCTGGCCAGTCGGATGTCTTCATGCAGTCCAACCATGTTCCCTCTACTGTGTGATGTTCTGGAGTGAGACATGTTTCTTACTAGTGGCATGTGGTGAAATAGGGACAAGCCTGCAACAGTTTTCACGGCAGAGAGCCAGGGAGAGTGGCTGACACGGAGCCACTGGCTCTCTGCAAGCCTTCTAAACTGGCCGTATTCTGGGCCCATGCACTTGTAGAGGGCCGTGCCCAGCAGACACTCCGATCTGCTGAAGGCTGGTGAGACCCAGGCATGCTGGTTCTGGCCCTTTTCCCTAAGCACACTGAGGAGCACGGGCTTGTTCATGCCAGGAGCAGGGTGATGAGCTGGCGACAGCCATTGGCTGCCTGGGGGCAGGGAAAATGGAGCTCCATCTCCTGGCTGGAGACCACAGAAGGGTGGGTGCTAGTCCTAGAATCTTTGCCAGAAGCCCTTCCCTGGGGAAGCAGCTGACTTGCCCCATGTGGAGGGCAGACTTCCTTGGCTGGGTACAGCTCTGTGGGGTCTCCATTAAGGACAGGACTTGTGAGTCATGGGGGGAAGAAAAATAGGGAATGTGGGCTGCTATGTCTTTTCTGTAGCGCTCAGGCTGCCAGCCGTCAGGCCAGGCTGTGGGCTAGGTGCACAGATGCAGATACCTCGGTGACCACATGAGGTGACCTTGGTCCCTCCAGGGGCACAGTCTAGCAGAGGAAAGGATAGATAAGGTGATGAGCAGCTGGTTTTGTTCCTGTGGCAAGTGGCTGTGCTCTGACTGGAGAAGGGGTTTTGTTTGGGCAGCTGGGCGTCATCCCTGAAACCAGGGAGATTGTTCTGGGAACTGTTAGTATGTGATCCGGTGGCCTCGGTAGGTGAAGGAACAAATAGTCAGTGAATGCTGAGATGAGTGGAGGAGTGTAGTCACCTGGGGGTCTAAAGGGGAGGTGTCATGAATGGGGAGAGAGTCCCAGGAATAAAGGCGGTGGGAGAAGGCAGGACACAGGCCGGGAGAGGCACTGGCAAATCTGGTCTGCATGAGTGTCTCTTTGACACTAACCGTAACCCTGCTCCAATCTGGCAGCTGGTGGCATGTGGGCAGTCGTCGTGACCCAGGGAGACCTGCGATTGGGGCCTAGGAAGCATGCTTAGAGGCAGGAGGACAGATGGGACTGGACCATGTCAGAGAGCCAGGGAACCACACAGTGCAGAGATAGGCATGGACCAGGGCCTCCAGTCAGAAGGATAAGGCTGGCCCAAGCCACAGCGGGCTGACATCAGTGAGGGTCGTGGGTTTGTGAGGATCCCTGTCAGAAGAGGAGGTGACACTGGTCTGCTTTCTCCTCCTTTGTATTTATGGCTCGCCCAGTGGATGGGGGCTGATGGTCTCCCTGAGAGTGGATCGGGTTGGAGGCACATCCCGAGAAAGGCACTCTCTTCCCTAGTCTAGCCACGTGGTCCAAATGCAAGCACAGTGATTGGCCTGGAGTGGGGTTCTTGGCTCGAGCTTGGCCAATTCTTTAGGGGTTCATAGTGTGTGGAGAAAAGGCAGCCACTGTTGTTTGTCCCTGTCTGCATCCCCCGCGTCATGGCCAAGAGTCATGAGGGGCTAGGGGCAGGCAGAGGGTGTGCAGGGCCCAGACTCCGTCCTTCCAGCGGCTGTCACCATGCCGCTGAGCTTTCCCTGGGTGTATCTCTGCTGAGGGCTTCTGTATATCTTGTCTCGTCCTCCTGGAAGTCTAGTGAGGTTGTTTTTGTTGTTGTTATGTGCCGTCAAGTCACACCTGACTCATAGCGACCCCTCCTTGGGTTTCCGAGGCAGTATCACTACGGAAGTAGGATTGCCCAACCTTCCTTCCGAGGAGTGGCTGGTGGGTTTGAACCACCAGTCGTCTGGCTAGCAGGCAAGTGTCTTAGCCACTATGCTACCAGAGCTCCCCTAGTGAGGTTATCCACTCATTTTATAGTTTGTACAATTTGAAACGTCCTTATTCAACAAACGTTGGGGTGTCTGCAGCCACTCTCTGGAGCTGGGCACAGCGGTGAACAATATACAGATCCCTACCTGCTTAGAACTTAGGGAAGAGACTAAGTTACAGGATACCAGGTGGTTTAGGCTATAGAGACAAAGCTGGGGGAGTGTGGAGGGCTTGCAGGGGCCAGGGGGCCTGCTTAGTGATCTTAGGTCTAAGGATGGAAGAGGGAGCCGCGTGGAGCTTTGCAGGCAGAGGGAAGAGCACATGGGATGAGCATGCACTGAATGCACGTACAAGCCAGGGGCGCACCTCTGGTGGAAGGGCCTCATGCCGTGGGGCGCGTGGGCCAGGGCGGCATGTAGAGGTGGTCCGGAGTCGGCCTCGAGGGCTGCCCAGCTGAGCATGGTGGATTCCTGTAGGGGGCACTGCTGTCGAATGTGGGTGACGTCCTTAGTGACAAGACAGAGATGATGGAGGGGGCGTTTTTGTCTTCAGTGTGTTTAGTGAGGTGTGGGATAGGAAGGTTTCTGTAAAGGAACTGGTTTGATTGAGAAGGTGACATGATCAGACAGTACAGAGGGGGGTGCGGTGCACCGAGCCCCTCTCTCTGGGAGGAACCATTGCTTGTCATTGGAGGCTCTGTTAACGAGAGCTTTGTTGAGACAGTGGCCGTGCCCTTGAGGTGACCCCTTCAGAGTGTGACGCGGTGGTTTATCGTGTACTCACGGAGCCGTGCATCCAGCACCACATCCATGCCAGAGCATCCTTGTTGCTGAAGAGAAACACAGTACCCGAAGCAGTCACTCCTGTGCCTCCCCTGCCCCCCAGCTCTTGACACCTAGCCATTTCCCTCTGTCTGTGGATTTGCCTGTTGTGGGCCTTTCACATAAATGGAATTTTGAATCACGTGACTGCACGTGGCTCACCGAGCATAGTGCTTTGAGGTCATCTGTGCCTCAGTGTGTCACAACTTCTCATTCCTTGTTGCTGAACAATTTTTCATCATATGGACGTACTTCCATATTTATCCATTTACCTGTTGGTGGACACCTGGCTTGACCCCACTATTTTGGCTATTAGGACAAGGCTTCTGTGGACCTTCTTGGACAAGCTTTTGTAAGGTCGTGTTTTCTGTCCTCTTGGCTATATTGGAGTGGGATTGTTAAATCATATGGTAACTCTGTGTTTAACCTTTTGAGGAATCCCCAAACTTTTCCAGCATGGCTGTGATTACTCACAGTCCCTCCAGCAGTAGATAAGGGTTTCAGTCTCTCCACCTCCTCCCCACACTTGTTATTATGCGTCTTTATTCTGACCATGCTGGTGGGTGTTACTGTAGCTCATTGGGGTTTGGATTTGCATTGGCATTTCCCTGATGACTAATGACACTGAATGTCTTTCTTGTGCTTATTAGCTATTCATGTATCTTCCTTAGAGGAATGTCTGCTCAGAGCCTTTGCCTGCTTTTTGGTTGAGTTACTGCTTTTTATTGAGTTGTAAGAGTTCTTTATGCACTGGACACAAGTCACTTATCAGAAATAGGATTTGCACATATTTACTCCCATCCTGTGGCTTTTTGGTGGTGTCTTTTGAGGAACAAACATTTTTCATTTTGATGAAGTCCAATGTGTCAGTTGATTGTAGAACCAAGTAATATGAAGTCTTTGGCAACTTCAGTCTTCTCTCCAGTTATTGTGATGCTGCTTATTGGTCCAGTTGTGAGGATTTTTGTTTTCTTTATACTGAGGTGCAATCCATCCTGCAGATTATAATCTTCAATCTTCATCAGTAAGTGCTTTAAGTCATCCTCACTTTCAGCAAGCGAAGTTGTGTCTTCAGCATATCACAGATTGTTAATGAGTCTTCCTGCAATTCTGATGCCACTTTCTTCTTCATATAATCCAGCTTCTCTGATTATTTGCTCAGCATGCAGATTGAGTAAGTATGGTGAAAGGGTACAACCCTGATGCACTTTTTTCTTGACTTTAAACCAATGGAAGCAGCAGTCAAGATATCAGACGATGTGTATGTATAGCATTGGGGGAATCTGCTGCAAAAGACCTCTTTCCGGTGCTGAAGAGTATCTACCTCTTTGAAGACTAAGGTGCACCTGACGTAAGCCATGGTATTTTCAATTACTTCATATGCATGTGAGAGCTGGACAATGAGTAAGGAAGATTGAAAAAGAGTCTAAAGTTTTCAGTTTGAGTTGTGGTGTTACTGAAGAATACTGAAAGTACCATAGACTGCTAAAAAAACTAACAACTCTGTCCTGGAATAAATGCACCTGGACTGTTCTTGGAAGCGAGAATGGCCAGACTGTCTGACCTACTTTGGTCATGTTGTAAGAAGGGACCATTCCTTGGAAAAGGGTATCATGTTTGGTAAAGTGGAGGGTCAATGAAGAAGGGGAAGGCCCTCAACGAGATGGATTGACACAGTGGCTGCAATGACGGGCTCAGGTATAGCGAGGATCGTGGAGCTGGCACTGGACTGGGCATTCCATTTTCCTGGTGGGTGAGAAGTAGCTGAATAGGGTTGCCATGAGTCGGAGACAACTTGATGGCACCTAACAACAACAAAAAATGTGTCAGTATTTTTGTTTCATTGCTTGAACATTTAGTCTTTGATACAAGAAATTGTTGCCTAATCCCTATGTCATGAAGATTTACATCTGCATTTCCTTCCAAGTGTTTTATAGTTTTAGCTTTCACCCTTAGGTCTTTGGTCCATTTTGAGTTCATTTTTGTATATGGTGTAAGGCAGGGATTCCACATCATTTTTTCACATCACTGCAGATCAGAAGGGGAGGAACAGCAAGTACTCCTTTTGAATGAATGTTGGATGCCCTTGTGTTAAAACCAATATTCAACTGAGTAAAATGTTACCCAATAAAATCAACTTTTGAGTTAAGGGAATAAATCTAGAATTTATTCACAAAATTTCCAGTTACTACAATTTACCTGAGTCACACTTCAGATCGTGATAGCACATCAGGATAATCACTCAGTACGCCAGCTTCCAATCATTCCGTGGTCTCAGGTGTTCCCCTTCAGTAAACAGGTTCTTCTTTATAACTGTATTTTTGTTGATGTCTGGAGTGAGAGTAGTGCTTGTGGATAAAACTTTCCTCTCTGGGGAATCTGGACAACTTGCCTAGAAGTGTTCACAGCCTGAAGAGAGTCGAATGTCTTGATTATTGTCATCGTGTCTATCGCGTGCAGCAGAATGGAACTGTGGAGGTTTGACAGCTGCATGGGCGGGCGGATGCCAGTGTGCCTGTGTTAGAAAGATCACAGTCAGCTTACTGCCGTAGTCATGCCTTGTGTTGGTCACTCTTAGAAACGTTTGTGTGAAAGGGTGGTAGAGAGATCCTTCTGAAGGTTATGTAGCATCTTTTCCTCTTAACATTTAAGGATTTTGTACACTTTTTATTTTGAAATTCAGATTTATAAAACCAAGAATAGTGTACCGAATTCTTGTATATTCACCCTGATTCCCCACATGTTCACGTTTTTACCACGATAAGCTTTTTCTGAACTGAGTCAAAGTTAGTTGTAGTCCTGATGTCATTTTTTCCCTAAACACTTTCTGTATATATTTTTTTGGAAACAAAGACATGCTCTTATATAATCAGCAAATGAAGAGAGACACACACCGTGATCTGAATGACAACTCCTATGTCGCCAGAGCCAGTTGTCCCAACAGTCCTACTGCAAGTGTTGACCTGGTCCAGGGTCTGTTGCATTTAACCATCACGTCTCTTTGTTCTTGCTGGCTGCCACTGAGCCTGTCCCCACTCACGGGGACTTCGTGCACAGTGCAAAGAAATGCTGTCCATTCACCCCAGGACCAGCTGTGGACCAGGCAGCTATGCTCTGCGGAATTGTCGCTGGTCTTTCAGAAGTCGGTCACCAGGCCTGTGCTCCCAGTGCTGCCAGATGTCAGCCGCACACAGGCCTCCACTGCGAGGTAGGCGGTGGCTGACCTGGAGGTTCACTGGCTGGGAATGGAACCCGGGTCTGCTTCCTGGAAGGTGGCGGTTCTGCCGCTGAATGAACCTGTCAGGGCTCTTCATTGGAGTAGCTCTTGAGGCTTTCTTTGTCTCTCATTACGTGGACACTTAGGAAGAGCCCTGGTCAGCTGTAGGTCATCCCTGTAGTGTCTGGCATTTTC